TTTCACTTTCCACTTTTTGGGATTCAGTCCTGTTAGGTTCTGATGTTTTACCATGCAACTTTCTTTACTGTAACATTTTCTACCTCCTTACCAAAATCTCCTTCTGAAGTTACAATTGGTTTTGCTTCCTTGGCATATTAAGGAAATGCCATATAGAAGAAACTTTAGCATTTCTTCAGCATTTAATCAAGTCTCCTTTTTTCCAGTCTCACCCAAAAGAGATGAAGAGATGTTATTTGTAGGGAGAGAAGAGAGATGTAGTGCTAAAGAGGAAATCATTGATTTAGAGTAGAGAAGAATTTGACTCACTACTTTAAATTTTTGCACAGGGAAATATTGATGTCATCTATATGTAGGGACTCTATAAATAACCCTAGGCCAGGGTTATGGGAAGAGTAACTGCCTTGTCTGATGGTTCTTGAAACCAACTCTTCACTTCCTCTTGATATGAGAATCATTGATCTTAGGGAGAGTCAACGGAGACAGAGATTGGGGACAAGTCTAGAATACATTTATTAAAAAATGAGCACACAAATACAACTATCCTCACTGCAAAATTGCGAAGCAGAGGGAAATAAAAGTCGTCATCATATTGAGTCACTGGGTCTAGGACTCAGAAGCTGCTGCTGGCTACTTTAAAGAAATGACTGGGATGACTGGGGTGGAGACCACCAGTCCGGTTAAAAAAGCGGCTCCAGTCCCAGCTTCATGCCGGGCACCGTCTCTTCCCCTTTCCCGATGAGTATTCAGTTTCTACCTCCCCAAGGCCACAGCGTGCTGGACCCCCGGACCACCAGGACGCGCGTCTCCTGTGCCACCGATGTACTGGGTTGTGACCCTGGAGCCCACCCTTGCCCCACCCTGTGCCGCTGCGTTGCTCAAGTGTTCCTGGGAGCCTAGAAGTACTGCAGTCCAGCAACTCCGGGCAGGAGTCGGTGCTGGCAGTCGTCCTAAGCGCCTGCTTTCTCTCTCTCTCTCTCTCTCTCTCTCCCCCCCCCCCCTCCCCCCTCCTTGCTTGGTTGCCGCAGCTGGGGCCACCTTGAAGAGGAGTGTGGCCCCCCTCTGACTTTCTCTCTCGGTTCCACTCGCAGTTTGCAAGTGCATCCTTCTGTTGCATCCCTAAATTGGGACACAGGACATCGTTCTAGACTCCTATAAGCTTCGGAAAATATTAATGAACACCATTTGCACCTGAAATTCCCTTGAACTCAACCCGCTGACCACAACAGCCGAGGCCTGAGATTCCTCGCTTGTGGTCTGGCACCTCCTGGATCATCCCCGTCCCATTTCAGAGCCCCTGACCAACATAATCTGCAAGTGTACTCAATAACACATCTCTAGCTACCTCCCTTCCCAACCGCAGCTACAGGGGCTGCTGTTAGAGATGCGGGCCCTTTCTGAGACCAGAGTTAGCTTGCCCCTCCCCGTCTCCTCCTCTTCTCCCATCGGGCTGGCCATATATATAACCGGAGAACTGGACAATTCTAGCCAGTTCACAGACACGTCAGGGGCTAGACTGAAGATCCTCAGAGCTGCCTGTGATCCAAAAGGACCCTGTGCCAACCCCAGAGAGAATGGCCGGTGAGACTGGTGGTGCATGTTGGCAGAGGCAAGCCTCCCACGATTTCTTTCGAATCCATTCGTATATTAAGAAACAGTTAATAATGGCCACCACTTATGACGTCTCTAATCTTTCCAGCAACCTTCCCTATGAAGTGCCCATTTTATAGAGAGGTTAAGTAACTTGTCCAAGTCCACAGGGCTCAGACTTGGGGAAGAGATGTGGTTACTAGTAACCAAACCCAGACTTTTCTGACTCCAAACTCGGGGCTCTGCGGTTGTCCAAGCTGCTGTCAGGTACACTCAAATCTGGGTAATAAAATCGGAGGTCTTCTTCACTTGGGAAACAGATCGAATTCTTCCCTCACCTCCTCATCTCTCGGTGGCACATGGTCGCACTCCAGTGACTACTCCCTGAAAGCAAATGAGCGGTTGACCCTCTAATGACATCTGGAGTCCAGGTTCAGAGTTTTGCTCCCGCCTCTACTCCCTTAATATTTTACTCAATGTCACAGAGGAGAACAGCTTAAGGCAGCCCTGCGCCTCATCTTCAATCCGAAGCTGGGGTATCCCAGAGAAAGGCTCGCCTTGAGCTCCTGCTGGGGCACCTGCCCAGCCACGCGCCTCCAGGGCGTCGCTGCTCTCAACCCCTCTCCGCGACTGCCCGGCGGCCCAGGCCTACGGACGCGACTCCATCTGTAGCAAAGTTCGGGGGCCAAATGGATCTGGGGTCTTTCTCGAAGGTTACTACGAGCAGGACTTGAAGGGAGAAGGAGGCGAATTAGCGACTTCATTTCCCTGCATAGTACTGGGATAGGGTAGCGGTGATGGTCTTGGGGGAACTCTGTGTAAAGACTGGATGACCACGGGCCTCCCGGAAACCCCACACGCTAGGCCTCCAACTTCTGCACAAAAGTGGGGTGGTTGGCGGAGGGCTGTGGCGGGGTCTTGGAGCTGCTGAGAGCCGAGAGGCGCAGATCGCAAGCTGGCAGGCTGGTCTGCTATCCCGGCGCACAGATGCCCCGCCACCAGTCGAGCGTGAACATCTCTCCGGAACATCGATCTGTCACCTCCCTTTAAGGACCCGGACCAGGAAATTTTCATTTTCTGTTTTGGAAATAAGAAATAAAAGCGACCAAGCTCTTGTTCTAATCTCCCCCCGCGGGCCCTTCCACGCGGGCTGGCGGGGATCAGAAGGTCGGGTCCGAGCTCGCGGGCGCGGGGTTCCTGTGAACTCCCGGCGCACTCGGTCCAGTCCCCAGGCCCTCTCGGGAGGCAGACCGCTGCAGCGCAAAGGGGCTTCGAGGATCTCTGAGCAACGACGGCTGAGTGACCTCTTTCCCTCTCAAACACACCTTCAAGGAGCCGGTGGACCCTCTCACCGCCGGTAGCTGAGGGCGGAGGGCGGCGCCAGGCCAGCCTAGACTGTGACCCTGGGTGGCGGGGTGGCAGCACATAGACGCTTTGTACCGCGTTTACTGCAAAAGAAGCGGGAACTCCCTTTTCCTGAGAGAGGGACAATGAGCAAGGACTAAAGGGAATTCAAGTGGAAAAATCAGTGAACACAAGAACGACCCACTGCTGGAGACAAGAGGTTTACATTAAGCTCTGTATGGTTCTTTCCCTTTCCGGGAATAGGCATTATTATTTTTTTCTTCAAGTGTTTGAAGAAATTTTCCTTCTAGACGTATTATTTAACAAACCGATTCTGGTTGGATGTTAGACGGTATTAGTTATTATCTCCTGCAACCCTAAGCAAACTGTCCAAAGAATGTACCTGTTTGCCCTTCACCCAAATCATTTAGACGGTATAGCTATTTCTTTTTAGTTAAAATTAAGTTTCCCTTAGAAAATTCTGCAAGAGTTGTTAGACTCTTGGCTAAATTCATTTTCTTAAAAAAATAATACTTTAAAAAGAGTAATACCACATAAGACGTGGCATCCTTTAACAGACAGATGCTTGGGTGTTCATCCTAATAGTTATGCCCGTCAATGAACAATTATTAAGTCATTTCAAGCACTTTGCAATTAGTTCAAACAATTTGCAGTTAGCTTGGGGGGAAAACTTAAAAATCACTTTTCATTCTTGTTCAGTTACTTTATGATTTTTTTTCATACATCATTTTATGGATCAAAGGTTGGTCTCCAATTTTCTCATATGTAAGTAGCTCCACTATCTGCCTCTGACTGCTATTGCCTTTGCTTTTGAAGCCACTGTGGGTGAAGAGTAGGCAAGGAGCTTTTAGAAATCTCCGGGGTGTAGAAGGGAAGTAGCAGAGAACATAAAAATCTGGACAGAACCTCAAAGGGGCTGACCAGCCAAGGGGGCCAGTGGGCAGGTTAAACATGCCAGGTCAGCAGCAAGAACCTCCAGGCCCCAAATACTTTCCCCTGCACCATCTGCTTTTCTTATTTCTGAATTCTGTCAGCTATCATTTCTTAGAGTAAATACACTTTTCTTTAACAAAGGCAGAATTTTAATACATTTGAGGTCATCACTTAGTCACACTTCAGGACAAAATGGATCCATTATTTGGAGATGATATGTATCAAGGAAATGGACATTTTATTGAAAGGAAAAGAAAGGTGGGTAATTACCAAGTACAGAGCAATCTGTGGTGGAACAGCAAGCTTGGGGATGGTGCCATTGGAAAGTTTGGGATAGCATGACTGAACATTTGAGGGTTTGGAGAAAAGACTATTTGGTGTGTGGATAAAGAAGAAAAGAAGGGAGAACATTCCCAAACTTCGTTTCAAAAACAGTGAGTTGGTAGAGTTAGTATCTAATCCTGGAAAAAGGAAGAAATTTCCTCCTTTTTTGTTTGTTATCTTACACCTAGGGCCCAGCAAATGAGCCAAAACAATGCTAAATAGTAACTGTAGATTAGATTTTTAAGGCTAGTCTAGATACCTAATGACCACTTATTACACCATGGGAGAACGAAACTGGAGGTCCAAGTTTTTTCATTTCTAGAGTTTCAGAACAAACATTTTCATAAATTCAGGGATACCTCCACTTATTTTGCACTAACTGACCTCATTTAAAAATTACTTATTAATAAATGCAGTAGCACAATCTGACAATATACTTTAGGAAATATTACTAAAATAATTCATAGAGAACTTACCCAACATAATACAATTATCTCTCAAACCCTAGCAAGAAAATATTTTGAGAGAACCACTACTAATGTGAACTACTAGTTCACATTAGTAATATTACTATTAGTTAACATTGATTACTAATATTAATTAGTATGAAATATATACTTCCTGTGCTGTGGAAATATGCTGTCATAGTAATTCTTTTAACAATGTGTGTGCCTATTAGGTCCAAAGAACAGTCAGTATTACTACCTTTTACTCATTTGATTAAAAACAAAATATTACAAAACCAAACAAACAAAAAACCCAAGAAACAAAAACACAGAGTCAGATAGTTGGGATGTTTGAAACACTGCAAACCTCTTTTACTGCATTTGCCCTATACAAGTCTAATAAATACAGAAGTAGTTATGAGCAAATAGATTTTTATTGCCTGCAAGCTGTTATACTGGAGTAGGAGAATATAATATCTTGACGGAAGCACACTTGCTACCCCACACCTGGGGCTTGCTTATAGTTGAAAGAAGAAATGCTGAGAATGGAACAAAGACACAAACCCCTTGGATAATCTAGTCTATATTTGGGTTTGGCAATCCTTTCATCCCAGGAATACACCTGTAGACCAATTCAAAGTACTAAGAACCAAGATTAAAGATTTTATACACATCACAATAATAGCAAATTAAGTACAAAACAAACCTGGCACATAAATTATAATTTGTAAGGTACACACCATTTTAACAAGGATACGATAGTGTTGGCGCAGTGATCGGACGTGACTTCTCACAATGCTGCATTATGAGAAATATGTATCTCGCTTTACACAGAAAACATCATTTTGATGTGATTACAGACAAATGCTCAAATCTTCTTTTAAAAAAAAAAAAATCATGTTCCAATCACAAGCAGAGCCAAGGTTCATTTTTAGGTCAAACTACACAAAAAAGGATACTCTTCTCCAAAAAACAAAACAGAAAAACCCAAAATCTTGGCATTTCCCCTTTTACTCTACATTCAGGTTTACTTTTTAAGGAAATACAAGCATTTTTATTTGGCCAAAACAAACAATGAATGTAATTACAAGGACAAGGTTAAAACAAAACAAAACAAACAAACAAAAAATGTCGATCAAGGTCTTCCTTCCTTCTGCAAAGTTGTGTGATATCAGCCTTCTTCTTCTTCGTCACTGTCTTTCATAGTAATGCCCTGAAGTCCTCCTCCTTCTGAAACAGAGGCTGTGGCCTCCTCTACTGTTAAACGTCTGTGTACAGTATCATAAGTCTTACTGTTCAGTGTTCCTTCCAACACACCCTGCAATCGAAAGTCCCTGTAGGTTTTCTGTAGAAAGAAGAGAAAATTTGCTTAGGTAACTTAGATTATATGCATGTACATAGATATATACTCAGTTGGCATTTCAAAAATGATCTTGGGGAAATCCACTGATAGGTTCATGTGGCTGTCCATGCCAATCATCTTCTTGGTGTATTTCTGGGGAGTAAATGCAATGACAGACTTTGGCTATTGCTTCAAACTACAATTACTATATCAAAATGTTGTGACTATGTTGTGACTATCATATGACAAATTTACTTCCCCTCAGAACATTACTAATTGCACACAATTTACCTTTTGAATAACCTGTAGCAAAAATAAAATACGTACCTATGTAAGTTTTTAATAAGAAATTATTAGTTTTTTTTAATTGAGGGGGCTTTCCTTTAATACTGAAAAATACATTATATTTTATAAAATGCATTAATTTTGGGGGGCAGTCATGTGGAAGAAGAAGATTAATCCTACTATCAGTAAAAGAAGTTCACATTTTTAGCATTTCAGTGAATTATAAAAATTTACATGTACTACTAGGTAAAAATTTGTGTATATCTAAATGTCTGGATGAATTTTGCCCTTTTCTTTTGAAATTCCCTTGGGATGTGAAGTGCCGAATTCTGGCATAAAGCTCCCATAGATGGGATAGCAAAACAAGTATTTACATTTTTTCTTAAAACATTAAAATTTGGTGTATTATATATCAAAAATAGAATACCATGTTATTGTTTCTACAATGATTTTCATCAAGACAACAAAAGCCAACAACATTTTTCTGTGGCGCTTAAAATATTAATCTATGTTTCCCTTATGTTTACATTGATTGATTGACTGATTGAGACAGGCTTCACTCTGTTACCCAGGCTGGAGTACAGTGGTGTGATCATTGCTTACTGCGGCCTCAACCTCCCAGGCTGAAGCAATCCTGCCACCTTAGCCTCCTGAGAAGCTGGGACTACAGGTGTGTGCCACCGCGCTCGGCTAACTTTAAAAATTTTTTGTAGATACAAGGTCTTGCCATGTAGCATAGGCTGGTCTTGAACCCCTGGCATCAAATGATCCTCATTTCAGCCTCCCAAAGTGCCGGGACTACAGGCCTGAGCCACTGTGCCTGATCATGTTCACTTTTTTCTTTTTTTGAGATGGAGTCTCACTGTGTCATCCAGGCTGGAGTGCAGTGGCGCAATCTTGGCTCACGGCAGCTTTTGCCTCCCCAGTTCAAGTGATCCTCCCACCTCAGCCTCCCGAGTAGCTGGGATTACAGGCACATGCCACCATGCCCAGCTAATTTTTGTATTTTGGGGGTTTCACCGTGTCTGCCAGACTGATCTCAAACTCCTGAACTCAGGTGATCCGCCCACCCCAGCCTCCCAAAGTGCTGGCATTACAGGTGTGAGTCACAGCACCCAGCCATGTTCACTTTTTAAAGTGTGATCTTCTTCAAATATAATTTTCTGCAGCTGAACATGATTGGTATTTTATTATTATTGATTTTTAAAGTAGGAGAAAAAGTTCAGAGTTAGTTAAATGGGGAAACAACAAATGAAGATATTTCATTTTGTGGGATATGATTTTGTCATACTAAGCTCATTCTAAGTCATAAGTTATTGTGACTAAGGTAGTACTTTCTTACACCAAAACTCATGGTAATTTGCATCAGAACCAGTGAGATAACTCTAAAAGGTATGTTTTGTCTAGATAATCTGGCAACTGATAAACATGGCATTATTACCACAGAGATTTGTGTTTATTCCTATAACTCTCTTGTAATTAAACATGTCAAACATAAAATAATCATCTACAGATGATGCATCTAATGTAAAGTATTATTGTTCCACTGACAATCATATACTGATTTTGTGAGTTCAACTTTCTTATTTTATTGGAATGACTTTCCTTTGACTTAGCTTAATTACCAGTAAGTAGGCCAGAGCAGATCTGAATTGTGGATCTGAAGTCCTGAAGGCTTTCTAATTTATATATAATTAAGACCGCTTTGTTATTCAATTAGAAAGCAATAACCAGTTGGGTGAGGTACTAGGCAGACAGCCTTGCAATCTCTTTCTCTCTCTATCTTTAGAATTCATAAAATGTTATTGACACTTGGACATTACCTGTGGCTTCCACAAAGGTTTGGTTGGCCCTTGCTTAAGACAAGTGCCTGCCACAGGGTTCTGTTCACTTTTTCCCTCCTAGCAAAAGAAGCAGGCAATTTATGTTAACTGCATTTAATGTCATGTGGCCACTATGGAGAACACAAATACAACAACCATTTTGATTATTTGAGGGTTTTACTTTCCTACCCCAAATAAATCATTCTGAGGTAAAAACTTTGCAAATAATTTCAGTCTTTAATTTTTTTGTGTAACCCTTTCTGGGATTTGTTTTTTTCTTAGTGTGCAAATGAATGAACCAATTGGTGTAAAAGTGTCTTTGTTTAGGGTAAAGTTGGCTCTTATACAGATTTTGATGGCATCTAGGTCTCCATGGGCATAGAAGAATGGCAATCCCTTATAAGGACAAGACTGCTAAAGTCAAGTAGTTTGGGTCCTGGGTAGAATACACCATTCTGCTGTACCATGCCTTTGCAATTCTCAATGTGTGTTATTCAATAGCTTCTTAAATTCATTGGGAAATAATCATTATAAGCAAAACCATGTAAGTTCTAAAGAATAATGAATCTATGTATGAAATCGGCTAAAGTCTGTTTATATTCAAAGTAGAAAAAACAATTAGAACATTAAATTATTAATTCAGTTTGATTTTTATTGTGAAAATAATCATTTCTAATTATTAAATAGAGTCCTCCCTATGACTTGATTAAATGCATCAGCCCAAGAACACATTGGCTAAGCCTGGAGACTTGCCTGTGAAAACTAAAACATGGACAATCAAACATATTCATGAAAATTAATTTCATATTTATTGGTCAATTATTGATCATTAGGAAGAATATATTAAAAGAAGATACACTGACTTACAGTACAATGGAAATGTCACTATATAATTCATAAAATTACTGTTCTTTTATGCTAAAATATTGACTGGTGAGAATACTTAAGATCTACTCTTAGCAAATTTCAAGTATACATTAATAAGTCACACTGTATATCTTGAGTATATAAAAATTTTTACTTTCAAATTATACCTCAATAAAATGAAAAAATTTCACTCTTGCTTAATCTTTAACTATAAAGATGTGTGGAAATGAGGAATAATTTTGAAAGAAAGAAATCGTAGGCTAATATGGAGATTTTTATTCTCAAAACAAAGAACTTAATAATCGATCAGCTAACACCAGGGGGCTGAATATGTAACCTCTGAAATCCTGAACACAGTAGGCATTAGCTTGAAAATATGGTTTATCATAAGGATAAACAGCTAATCGTAATATTAATCACTGTATAAAGTGCAACTGTTATGTATGTGTGTATATATATGTATATATATGTGGCAAATACATTATCCTGATTCTCTTTTTTGAAAAACAAACTTCATTTGAAAGCGCTTCAAGTCACATTTATAGAAACAAGAAACAACGGAGAACTAAGCCAATTATGAACCTATCATATTGTCCTTTCAGTTTCTTTGTAAAATAAAGAACACCATATATGAAGTGTTCTGGATCAAAAGTACTTTCTCCATTGACATGTAATGTGTAGCTATAGTATTAACATTTTGTGACTGGCTGTAATTTTACTTGTTATTTATGAGTAATCATAATGCTATTATTTTGACATTTTAGGTCTGGTTCTACTTTCCAGTAGATTTGCCAATTTCTCACTTTGGAACAGAACTTTTCTATTTGTGGGCCTAACAAGGATTAACAGGCAGGCATAAAATAATTTGTATTCTAATTAGACTGTAGGAACCAAGGGAATAAAGAAAATATTTTAATGTGGCTAGAAATATCTTTTAATGATGTAACACAGTGGGTCTTTGCAAACTGTAGCATGTTTTCATGTATTAGAACCATCTGGAGGACTTGTTAATCTATAGATTACTGGGTTCCACCCTCGGAGTTTCTGATTCAGTAGGTCTGGGGTGGGGCCCAAGAATTTGTGGTTCTAACAAGTTCTCAGGTGATGATGATAATTGTAGGTGAGGAATGACACTTTGCAAACTACTGTGTATACTCATATATACACACACACACACATAAATGCATAGATACACATTATGTGTGTGGGTACATACACACATATATACTACTAATAAATGGTACTATAATGAAAGTAAAAGTCTTTTGTTTAAATAAATAGGTGATTCTCAATAGCTTAATGTTTTCTGCCATAAGGTGAAATTTCTGTCCCAGTTTTAAGAAAAGTTTAAACTTGGGGTAAATTTTGTGCTTCCATTAGAATTTACAAAGTGTGAAAAATTATGCATAATATATTACAGATTTTATTCCCTAAACGTGACATGTAATTTATTAGCTTTTCTCTTGAAGAGTTAAAGTCAAAACGGCCTTGCCGAACTTATGTGACGTCTATGTCAGTAGTTTTGGGTGGTCTCCAACACTCAAATGATTACCTTTTACATATAAGAAGGGGCATGCTTCCAAAAGAATTTGGGCAATGACAATGTATTACTTTTGTACCAGCATATAATAAAATAACTGAGACTCTCCTTATTCTTCTGGCAAAATATAGTTCAAAAGCCCTCACAATGATATACGATCCTAATAAATATGAAGTAATTGTATTATGATAAAACATTTATATGCTTAAGAAAATTAATGTAAAATTATTGTGAACCTACTTCCTTCAGGTAACTGTGCTGGGGCTTTATGTATTTAATCTCAAACTGTGATTATTTGCAAGCGAATTGTTTTTATTAGTACAAAAAAGATAAATTTATATTCATTTGTTAATCTAACTAAAAATGGAAGTAAACAGCAGCACATCATTGCTAATAAGTGATACTTTTTAGTTACATCAAATACAGTTTTCTTGTACGTCAGTATCTTGTCATTATTCCTTATAGCTTGGTGGGCAATTCATATCTAAACACATTTTGTTTACCTTCACAATCTTGATGAGCGTCTTCAGCTGGTAAATATGGAGCTGGAGGTCTAATCTATCAGTCAACCACACACAAATGACTTTCATGGAACTGCTGTACCATTGCTGGAATGGAGAATTGGGGCACGGGAGGAGAACAAAAAAGAAAACAACCTCTGCAGTATTCATTTAACAGATTCGGTAATGAGGGGGTAATAAAACACTCTGAAATGACCACAGATCAGCACTTGAAGTCAATAATGCTATAATTTCCTATTAACAGAATTGTATGCTTTGCTAGAAAATCTGTTAAGTTGACCTAGGCTGTTCTTTAAATGAATTAACATTACAGTCTTTCAGCTGTAACATATTCACGGAAACAGTGTTTTTGCACTTTGCAGCTTAGTGGTCTGCTTTGTAAATTGTAGGTAACAAAGGGTCCTAAATACATGTTTTAGGACTGAATGGACAGCCAAGCAGCAGGAAAAAAGAGGTAAATTATTTTCAAAGGAAAATTTTCCATTGGCCTGCATGTTAAATAAAAATCAAAAAGAAGATGTGTTATGCTATAAGTCATGTGGCCAATACCTAAAAATTACATTTTAAAGGAGCGATGGTAAAAAAAACACAAAAAACAAAAAACAAAACCCTACAACTTATTAAACAGTAATCCTCAATCACACCTTTATCAATTAAATATTTACCAAGCTCTTTAAAACCATCTAAAATAAAGATTCATTGAGATCTTAGGAAGAAACATTATAAAGATTGAATTCTTATAAGAATCACAAAATAGGTGTCAGTTGACCAAATTATGAATGAAAAGGATGTGTTTCATTTTGTAGTTTTGGAGGTTCCATAATTTTTCTGTTTATTACAACTCTCTTAAGAGAAAAACTGAAATTCTTCTTTAATGCAGTTTTCTGCTCCTATATGTCTGTCAGTCTAGTAAAAGAAAATGTTGTTCCTATTTTCAAATAAGACAATCTGCCATTACAAATGACATTTTTAAGGGATACAGTGATTCAGAGCTAGGTTTAGATAACACTCTAAGAATAATGCTACTCATTCAGATAAAAGTGAGAAATTTCCATGTCCACTCAGCATTTAGGAAATGACAAAAGAGTTTTTTAAAGACAAGAGATTTTGTGCCTTGTTTGTATATACAAACATAGTGACAGTCCAGATCACGTATGTGTGTGCATACGTTCTTAAGAATTTAAACACAGAAAAAAAAATTAGAAAAAAAAATTTTTCTACATAATAAAACCATAAATTCAACTTCTAAAATAAATTTTCACAGATCCAAGTCTGAAATTCATCTGGATTTATATTTATAAATTGTATTGGATACAATTTAGTTTAACAAGAAATGGTATTTTAAGTATAAATTAAAAATGAATTTTACATTTTTACCATGCTTATTTCTATTAATTTGTTAGTATAATGAACATATATGCATCAAATGAGGTAAGCTAATTTAAATGGATAACTGATATACTAAATAACAGCAATCAAATGGATAAATAAAAGCTTCAAGCTTTAAAAATGTGAGATGGATCATGATTTTTAAAACATATGTTATTCCTGTACCTGATTTTGCTCCTTCCTAATAAGCACTTTCTTAATATTCAGGACATGTAAAAATTTCAGCAATAAGTTTTATAAAACAAGACAGTCATACTCCAAAATTCCTAAAAAAGTAAACTTCTAGTAAATTCAGTACTTTAACTGGCACATTAAGTCTCAAAATCTTTTATAGATATTTTAATTTCCAACATTAAATTCTATGCTACTTATTTCAAATTATTTACAGCTTCAACTTCTTGATTTCTATTTTAATACAGGCAGACACTCACAAGTATTGGTGATATTGAATATGAGTACAGTTAATTGAGGCCCTTCCACCACACCACACTCTAGATAATTTGAAAGTGAAAATATTGTCCTAATGGATGTGACTCTTAAAAATTACAGTCATTTTGCACGGGATAGTAAATTTTTCTTTCTTGTTGAAGGAGAGAAAGTATATGTACTTTACGAAGTCTATCATAACATACTAGTTACTCTGTTAGACTGCACAGTTACTGTAACTTGGTAAGTTATATAAATTTGAGGGAAATGAACAAACTTTCTTAAAATTACTCTATATGCATCTTTATGTTCTTGAAAATCCTTATATAATTTAAAATTAACTTCATTTTTCCACCATATATAATGGCACTTATAATTAAGTGATAATTGAAAAGACATACAATGTAACACAGAAATCATTTATATATAACTTATTTAATACAATGCCAAAATGATAATTTTAGAGAAAAAGAATTTGGGAATAAAATGATCTAAAATTAGCTGCAAAAGCAGCAAAAGAGAACTATTATTAAGTAAAATGTTTAAGCTACTTTATCATCATCTTACTTTGAAGGTCAATAAATTGTTCTATCAGCAAAAGCCTCTAAGAAAAAATTATTCTATCAAATAAGAATGTATATTTTTGGCTCCTAAGTCAAAGCATTTTCAAGAGGCATTTCAGCTAAATTAAGCAAATGATTAAGGAAAAGCAGCAATTTAGCTCAGAATATTTGCTGCCACTAAGAATAGGCTAACAACAACAAAGCTCCCACTATGACTGCTTTCTTGTATACAGTAAAACGCAGAGACACACACACGCGCACACACACACGCACACACACATACACGCACACACCTTAAACAATGAAAGCCACCAAGGAGAAACCTTTAGCACCTTCTTATTTCTAGTGCTGGAATTAATATGTCCTTCTTTTGACTACTGAATAGGGTAGGTACCATTTTCTCACACTGAGAAAAAAGTCAAAGGTAGGTTCTCTTCATTCCCCAACCCCCTCCACCAAACCAAACCAAACAAAAAATTGGAAAAGGGTGAATGTGCCGTAAAGTCTCCATGTTAGAAAGCGCCTTTTCACTTTGGAAAAGTTAATTTTATAAAACAACTTGGTTGACCATTCACTTTTCCCTGTAGGGGATGAAAAGGAAGGGGTGCCGCAGCTTGCACAGAAGGTATGGGAATGGCATTACTGCTTTATTCTTTGCCTTGGTCTACACAGGAATAAAGCAGTAAGTGTATATTTTACAAATTTTTTCTACATCAATCCATGACAGCAGCCTACCGCTTTAGCAAAAATATGTTTTTTTCTTCTTTTTGTGGTTCATTCAACTCCTGTAAGGGCATGCGTTACTCACTTCATTTTCTTGAGATATCTCTTTTAAAGCAAAAATAGAAGAAAAGGAAAGGCTAGGGTTGACTCTGTGAGACCCCTGTATTTATTCACACTTATTGTGCATGACTGTAGACTGGTAAATCATATTAGCAGCCCGTCTCCCCATCAAGCTGCTACTTGCTTTCCAGCCCTGGGAAGGTTCAACAAATCAACAGGAGCACGGAAAACAGAACATCAGTCTAATCTAGTGTTTAAGGTGAAGTTTTCAAACCCAATCTAAGAAGATCTTTAGAGCAAGCAACAAGCTGAAGGGCTCAGAAGGTGGTATTGACAATGAAAGAGTGTTGAAATATTGAGAAGCGCAGCACTTGTGCATTTTTAATAACAAGAGGGTCAACAAGGACACAGCTCCCTCAGTGCCAGGAGTTGCCACTGACTATGGAAATTGCCACACCAGGGCTATAAACGCTTGCAGTTCATCAGCTTTCTTAAACAGTTCATCAGCTTTCTTAAACACCCTGAACCCCCTCAGTGGACCTTTAGTCTTGAATTAACAAACCAAAGCAATGAAAGAGGGTGCAGTCTGAATGGCTGGCATTGATCCCCAACTGTGTCAGCACTGCTACAGGCCCTGAAAAACTCTTTCCATTGTCAATAGAAATTGACAAACCTCATCTCCTAAATAGTGCAGCTGAGCCAGGCGGGATCCACGCAGCTGTAAAGGGCTCTGCTCTTGGGGCCGGGGAGCACTAACAATAGAACAAGCATGAGCTCTTTGTCAGTCCCAGACTCGGCAATTTTCTAACAAGGATTAAAGTTGTTTCTCCGCAGAGCTGGTGAAAAGAGATTTAGCAACATACCGTGCTTTCTTCATGCAAGTTAAAGAGAAGTAGTTAAGGAATTTCATTATTCTGTTGACTATTGGAAATACAAAACAAATATATTAAATATGCACTCTCCTTTTTGCCTAATTTATAGCATTTTGAGGACGATTCAATTAAATATAACACGTATTGCCTGGAAACAAGCACCTTTATTTTGGAAGTTTTATTTTCCAAAAGTCCAGCTGCTTGCCACCTGGAATGAGGTCTCAATACATACTAATGCACAATGCCTTTAGACCCTCCAAGGCTGATATTCCTAAATCTGAATCACAAGACCACATAGGGTTTCTATATCATGGCTGCTTCAAGCAAATGATTTTTGTCAGAATGCGGCTTCTGATGATGATGGCAAGGTAAAAATAGCTGCTTCGCTAGGGTACAAATCTGTGATATATTTTCTACTTAAGTGTTTAGCTTTTTATTGATTATGAATTGGTACAACTAGCTGATGCATTTTTATTCTTCTCCAGCTATGCTTGTCTCAATAAGTGACAAAGAAAAGAAAAAGAACCAAAGAACCAACACTTTTTAGTGAATTAAGACATGAAATGGCCATGTTTCCAGATTATGTATTTCTTCATTTATTTCAAAAGAATCTGTATGTTTAGCAAGAGTTGAGCCATTGTGTTAAAATGAAATAACGCCTAGAAAATCTCATACCTTTTAAATATAAAGTTAAATTAAATGAAAGAACAAACAGTACTTTTTAAATGATGAAGGCTTGGATAAATTTGATAAATATAAACCACCCTGTAAGATCATTTAGTAGTTTTAAAGAGCAACAAAATATTTAGAAACATTAATGCACTACAATTCACTAATATATTAAAAAGTAAATATGAATGTTTCATTATACATTGAGTGTTCATTTTGTCAACAGTACATCTATTCAATGTAACTAAATGTGTGGCTCTGTTTCACTCATTTCTCATGTCTAAGCACTAAAATGCAAATGTTATATTAATGGTAAATTTAATATAATAACATCAAGGTTTTTCCACACTGTTAAATGCATCCCACTGAAACTATCATACCTGGT